AGTACTGTATAATTACAATGTACATCATAATTACTCTATTTAATGTTGGCAATGATAAACTACACATAGTAAGACAATTAAACTTACGCCATATGCAAGTATTCAAAAATCACGTTATTCATGGGATCCATATATTTGCATTAACTGTGGTTTCAGCTATCCGCGGTCTGGGGGGGGGGGCGCTACCGTATATTCAGATTTTCCAAGCTGGTCATCACCAATAAACATTTCATCAACCTTTGTCGGCAGTTCAGTACTATAAGATTATCTTCCCTTCCATGTTTAACAACAGGGGCCTGTGAATATTGAGAACAGCAAGTCCACACAGAAGACCATCACTGTGTGGCCCAGTGGTGCTGCCTCCAGGCTTCAGGACTGTTTTGAGTGCATCAACTGGCAGATTCTCAGAGGCGGTGACCGGCGAGAGTGAGCTGGACCGGGAGGAATATGTATCATCGGTCTGCAGCAATATCAGCAAATGTACTGATGATATCACCACCACCAGGAAGATCACCACCGCAGACGTGCGGTTTCTTCTCAAGGCATTCAGGTCAGGAGATGCATCCACAGTGCAGTGAGGAGGGAATTGGAGGCCAGGATTAAAAGGGCAAAGGCCAGCTATGCTTTAAAGATACAGGGTCATTTTTCTAACAATGTCCCTCGGAGCATGTGGATGAGCATTGTTGGGTTGAAATTGTATATATATTATCACTCACGTGTATTCTCAAGGATGCATAACTTGTTCCATGTAGCAACTGTGTAAATGCTTAACAGTAACTTTCTATCACGTGCAGCAGACGAGGCCACCTCTGACGCACGTTCTGTTGTTCCTGTTCCCACTCCCACATTCCCATTGCTTCCATCCCATTCTAAAATGTTGTTCACACCCACAATGTAACCTGATCAGTATGTTTACCTTATAGTATAAATAAACCCTGTCGAGGGGCCACACCTTTGTAGCTCACACTGAGGTGGGGTTACCCTTGCAGCAAGTAAAACAGCGCGTGTCTCATACTCTGTGGGCCGGCAGCCGGGGGAGCTGATCACTCTCCCCGACAAGCATCAAGACCCAGGGGTAGAATTACTTTGTTCGGGGGGCACAGCAATGTTTGCCTTTTATCCCCTCAA